ATTTCAAAATTCAGATTTCAACCAACAACCTAAGGATCCATTAAACATTGGCGCAGTATGTACGCTGTTTCTAATATTGCCGGTTTTTTCTAGCTCTGACGGTGTGATTTCTGAGATCTGCAACTGCTTATAACACTGTGTGTGATTTCTTGATACGGTTCCCAAAGCCCCAATGACGACGGGGACAGTGAAGTAAGTCTCTTCCAGAGGCAAGAAGTTTCGATGGCCAGGACCACCTTAGTTTTTCCAATTCTTTATTTTCGACTCTAGCATCCCCTTGAATTGCGATGTCTAAGAAACTCCTTCTGGATGTTCAGATTGTGACGCTAAAGCTTTACTTCTTCTTTTTGGAAATCCAGCGAGTCTCACGCCAATATTGCAAAGAACTGCAGAGCAGGAAGGGACCCCTTCGACGAGGAGGGGCCACCGTGTCCAACCCCCCCCCTTTTGCCAAAAGTGGGAAATCTGCAGCTAAAGCTTCCCCGACTGGTGGCCACTCTACCTCTGCAGGAAAACAGCTAAGGAAGCCGCGTCCGCCGGCCTCCGCGTCACGTCCGTTCCACCGTCGAAGCGGTCTTACTCTCAATGGCCTCATCCCTCTGCTAGCACACACACCAAACACCCTCACCTTCCAGATGTTGAATGACTACAATGCCCATCAACCCCAGTACAGCCAGTGGTGTGGGACGATGGCTGCCCAGCAAGATCGGAGAGCCGGTCTCTTGCCATCCCCGCCTTGTTAGGGCCAAAGAGCACGTCCGAACGTGGGGCACAAGCTTCCAGGTCCTCTCTCGCTCTGCACCAGGCCGGAGGTTGCTCCCACTCTGCTAAAAAAACACACACCACACAAACAAGAACAGAGTGGGGGGGCTTGCAGTGGGAGCCCCCCTGCCCACAAATCTTGGGGTGTTGCACGATCACATTTGTTGATCCCCTTATTGAAGGGGATCAGGCTTTGAAAAGTCATCTTTTAGACTTTTTGGTTTGGGGATTCTGGTTTGTGGTTTGGGGGATTCTGGGGGGGGTTGTAGTCCAAAGGAGTGACATGTTCGGTTCCTCGGCTGTGAAGATTTTTCAGCATAAATCCAGTGCCTCTCTCTGTGCAGGGGTGCCTTCCGCTGCCTTTTCGCCTCTCGTAAATCACAGATAGGAACCCATGGGAACAGGGGACGATGCCCCTCCAGAGGTTCAACCACAACTCCCAGTCGCCCCTCACCACCCGCGCCTGCCGCATGGGGGATGATGGGAACCGGCACCTTCTCCTCCCCAGAGAGAGAAAGAAACAAGATTTGGACAAAAGCAGCCAATCGAGATTCCTTCTTTGTACAGTAACGGCCTCTCAGGCTAAGGGATGAGACCAAGGCCGGTCCCTGAGTCAGTGGCAAAGACATGGGCCATCGCTCTCCACCCGGAGAAAGAAAGAAAGAAAGAAAGAAAGAAAGAAAGAAAGAAGCCGAAACTTCGGGGAGAATAAAGGCAAGGCAGGCAGGCAGCCATCTTCAGCTTCATTCCAGGAAGCAGAAGATAGAAAAGTTTGATTTTTTTGGACTACAACTCCCAGAACCGCCCAACAACAACTACACACATGACCTATAGCCACTTTTGGCTGAAGAATGCTGGGAGCTGTAGTCCAAGGAAACACGCTATCCCACTAGGGGATTCTGGGAGTTGTAGTACACACAAAAAGGAACGCCCTCACACTCTGGCTCGGGGAGTTAGGGAAGGAGCCACCCCTACTACTCGCCCTTTTCAAAAGGGTGGTTTGTTGCTAATCATCTCCTCCTCGGTTTTTTTAAACCCCCCCCATGGAGCGGGTCCCTTTAAGGCCTAGCCACGCCCACTGGCTCTCGTCGCCCCTCCCTCCCCTTCCTTTCCCCGTGATTGGCCACCGCCTGCGGAGCGCCGGTCCCACCCCCCCGGTGGGCGGACTTCGGAAGCCGAGGAGGCGGGCCTTCATTGCCTTCAGCGTGGCCCATAGAGCTACACACGGTAGAGTGTCGCTTACTTTGCTGGTGGAGGCGGTCGCTGGACCCTTTGCTGGGGCAAGAGAGAGCCGGGTTGCCCCCGCAGGGCAGCGAGACTCCCCCTCTCCCGCCCCCCCTAGTGTTCCTCCGGGCCCCCGAGGGCAGAGGGAGCACGCTTTGCATCCTCCCCTTCCCCTTCCCTGTTGTTTTCACAACAACAACCCCCCATCCCTCCCTGCCAGGTTCTATTGACTTCAGAACAACAACCCTGCCAGGTAGGCTCAAGGGGCCCAAAGGGGCTGGGGTGTGAACGGAGCGCTGAGCTCTGGACTGGGATTGGGAAGGGGGATGTTTTTTTTTGGGGGGGGAGAGAGAGGACGTTTTGGAGACTTGCTACTCCTGGGATTATATATGTGTATATATATATATATTATTCCCCCTCCTAATGCACTGGGAAACTTTTAAAAAAGAAAGTGAGAAAATGTATAAGCAGCAGAACTGGGAAACATTGCCTTTTTGGGGGGGACTACAACTCCCAGAATCCCCCAGGCAGCATAGCTGGCTGGGGGATTCTGGGAGCTGTAGTCCCAGAAAGCAACGTTTTCCTGCTCTGCATGTTCTAAGTTCTCCTTTGCTGCTTCTCAAAAGGGGGCTCCTGCGTTCTGCCTGGAGGACTCCAATCTCGAAGCATCGTTGGCCAGGGGATTCTGAGCATTGTAGTCCAAAAAAAGGGGGAGGGGAGACGTTTCCCAGATTGGCATGGTCTACCATCTCCCTTGCAGCATCTCAAAACATCCCTAGGGCTCCTGTGTTGCACCCAGAAGACCCCGAATTGGCTGGGGGGATTCTGGGAGTCGCAGTTCGAAAAGATAACCTTTCTCAGCTCTGCCTATCACGCAGGGAGAAAGGCCACAGACAGATATAACTCTCTGGAAAGGCTCAACCCCCAAGTACTTTTCCAAGTTGTCCTGGGTCCATCTTACGCTGAGTTTCTCACACCCGCTTGGAGCAGGAGAAAACAGGTGAGGAAGGAAAACACGGCTAGCGATCCTGATGGGGAAGCCTGGAACGACCCTTCCCTCCTCGTCCCACGGACCCTGGGCTGGACTGAAGACCCTCTGAGAGTGAGGTTACCTGTTTTGGACTACGACTCCCACAGTCTCTTACTGTCGGCCCTTCTGGGGCCGAGAACCCGGCCCGGCTGCTTTTCCCACCTAGCGGTGAAATATCATGGCCAGAGGCTTGGCAGCCTCTCAAGTCCGGAGTTCGTTAGAAGGTGTTGGGCAGCACCGATGTCCATTGAAGTGCATTGCTGCTGCATGCCTTTGCTTTTCTCCCGTTCTCCCCAAAGCAGTGCGTTTGAAGAAAGAGGATTCTTGGGAGAGGGGTGAAAGGCGCAAGCAGCCTAAAATGTTGTGGGTAGGGGGAGACCTTGAGGGCCTTTTAGCTCCTCTAACATTGCATCAAGAATGAGAGGTCTCTGGAGATGATAATGTATTGAGTTTATGTGTGTGTTTTTTTCCAGGAGACATAATTCCCTCTGCCATCTCTAGAACACTTCCGGCTTATTATTGCTTAGGAGAAGAGATCAGTGAAATATTTGCGGGCGCCAAACGGTTGCTATGAATCTCTCCTGAATTATTTGTAGACCTCAACAGAGGGGTGGATTCAGGCAGCGTAAACTTTTCCTGTTTTTGTGCATTCGTTGGTTTATTTCATGTCTGGCTTTATTTTCATCGCTTGCGTCCTACCCTTGTGCTTTTGCGGTCCTTGAGTTCAACAGGGAAAGCAGAGCGGCGCCGTTGGGACCACGATGAACCCCCCAAGGGGAAACTCACCCGCTGCTCCTTAAACAGATCCGCCTCCTTCTCCATCCTCCGTCAAGTTTTGGGAGAACTTGTCCTGTAGATTTCTAGCCAAAGGGACAACAGGTGTCGCTCAGACCGGCTGAGCGTTCCATTGGTCTGGATGCCTCGTTCCCCTCTGTCTTCCAAACGGGTCTTCCTGTTGAGAAAAACCATGATGCTCCATTAATGCCCCAAAAGATTATAAAGAAAGAGACAACCAGGTCCCTTCGGGGAATCTTTTTAAACATGGGGGAAGGTATGAGCAGGAAGAAGAATCCGGAGTCGGGTCTGGAGACCATCCGGGCGTCCGCTGAGGAGCAACGGCAGGTCAGAAGCTGCGTTCATCCCACAATGGATGCGTTCATCCCACAACCCACACCCCTTTTTCGTCAGAGGTACGTCCGTCTGTCCCCTTGTTTGTCTAATAGACAAGGAGTTGTAGGTTCAGGTGAAAACACGAGGCCGTTTAGGCAGCCAGTAATGCAACAACACAGCACCAAATCCTACTTTTAATTCTCTTTACACACTGTTCTCTCAAGAGCGACAAAGTGCCCCTTTGCATAGTTACTTAGGAATATCCTTCTGCGGGGACTCCTGTGGGCCTGCGGCTACCACGCTGGCCTCTTCTTTCCGGAAGGCTACTCATGAGGCTGTGGCCACCCGTTGCATCCCACAGGGGATTTAAAGACTGTAGCCTAGTCTTCCTGAACCTAGGTCTCTGTCAACCCAGAATTGCTGGCAGAAGTCTCCCTGCAACCTCCAGAAAGGATGGATGGATTGATTTAAATTATTTTTATCCCGTCCTTCTCCTTAAGAAGGACCCAGGGTGGCCTTGCAGCATTCAAAGACGATATTTAAAAGCTAAAAACAGTAAGTATAAAAAGATTTAAAAGATTCAAACAAATGCCACATGGTAAACGGTAAACATGTTTGTTTGTTTGCTGTCTTTCTTTAAACCCCTTAGTGATACTGAAGTGGTGTTTGCGTACCTTTCAAATAAAGGAAGTGCTGCTAGATATTCTGTTTTAATCTTAACAGCACCTGGACAACGGCCGGTCAAGTCGATTTCTCCTGGGTGAGCCCTTCTGCCCACCTCGATCTAGATGGTCCAGTAAGAACATCGGCTGGGAGCAAGGAGGACTGGGAGAAAAACCTTCAGTTTGAGGACTGCCAGGAGTTTTTTTCTGGTAATGCCTCCAAAAGCTGGATTGCCCACCCAGGAAGCAGCTGAATGGCTATTTGTTTCTACCGGGTTTCTCACTGTTCCTTTCAATATCCCACGGGCTGCACAACACTAGTAGTAATCATGAGCAGATCTGATATTTTGACATGAGAATGGAATATGTTTTATTCAGCTGGAAGGGCGGGGGGTCTTTTTGGTAGTGTTTCCACTGGCATTCTTTTATCTTGCTTCTGTCTTGTACAGAGTGCCTTTATCTGATGACGCGCACAATCAAAGCGTGTGGTGTGGGCGTGAACTCTGCTCCTTTTGCCTGCCTTCTCCTTGCACTGGCAAGGACTACAGATGCCATGTAACGTGTAAATTGTACTTTTAAAAATAGCCTTACATGAATCCAGCTCTTCAAGACCCAATGAGCTATATAGTCAAGGATTTTGAACAAACTTGCAGAGGTCATGTCAACAGAGTATCGTTCTGTTGTCGTAGAGAATTCTTGGGGAAAAGATGAGGTCTGTGAAGTCCAGAGGTGGGAAAATATTGCCCCCATCCTCGAAAAGAGGAAAAAAGAAAGAGGATCTGTGTAAGGAGGGGAAAGGTTCCAGAACAAGAAATTAAGCAGTTGGCCCATGGGAATTTAGAAAAGAAAGCAGAAATCACCAGGAGCCAGCAGGGATTTGTTGAGAAAAAGTTAATCTTTTTTTCTTGGTAAGAGTTGCAGGCTTGTTGGACCAGGGAAGCAGTGTGGATGTTGTGTCTCTTGAGAGACGGCCAGTGTGGTGAAGAGCAGCCGATGCTCTGGGTGCAAAAGCTTCTTGCAAAATCACCCTGATCTGTGTTTGCCCCACAGAAGGTCCCCCGCTCCTGGTGAAGGTACCCCAAGCCGAGAAGAGATGGGAGTGCAGTGGCCGGGATGCATGGCTTGAATCCAGATCCCAAGACCGGACACGGTCCCTCTCCAAAGGAACCCAAACAGAAGGTAACACCAATGCATTTGAGGTTGGCTAGGGATATGCCTGCATGGGAGGGACAGGAACTGGAAAGGGTTTGTCCACTCTCTCGGCGGTGGCTGCCTCTCTGTTCTCACATAAGAAGTTTGCATTTATTGCGAGCGGAACAACCTGCTGATTTCTGCAGAAAAGATGCGGCGGGAATGAGCAGGCAGTGGCGCTGTGCCTCATGCTCTGTCTGTCATGGATTTTCTGCATTAAGCAACGAGGGAGAAGAAGAGACAGGGAAACGCAAGGAGGACAGGAGTAGAAGACAGCGGTGTCCCCTGTCATCTTCCGTGAACAAGGCAAGATGCTGCATCCTTGGCTCAGAAGAAGGTGGCAGGGATCAGTTCGTTTCATGCCAGGCTGGTGCCGAGGGGGAAAGCAACCCCTGGCGGTAGCCGGGAAGCCCTCTGGGTCTCCGTCGGCCCGGAATGGCATCCCGCAGCCTCTTGCCAACTCTGGCACCCTCCAGAAGTGTGGGTTTGCAAAATCCCCTCAGCTCCTGCCCGGCAGGGATGCTGGTAGCTGCAATCCCACACCTCTGGAGGGTGCCAGATGAATGGGAGGCTGGCCTACGGTGCCGAAGGTAGCCGAGGGAGGAAGAGGAGGAGAAAACACCCATAGCTCAGGATCCTGGCTCCATCTGAACCGAGGGGGTGCTTCTAAGGAGGGAACCAGCTAATTTTGCCTGCAGAATTGGGCTCATGGAAGCAGGACTTGCTTGTCTGTTCCTTCGTGGCTGCTAGGTAAAGATGGCTGGCGCTGACGTGGCCAATTCCGGGGGGAAGGGGGGGTTTGGCCAGTGGCCTTGCCCGCCGTTGGGCAGGGTCTGGGTGTAGTACCAGATGCTCTGAGCCTGCCTGTCTAAACTCTGGGCTGGCCATTGGGTGCCTTCCCTTCTGTGCTTGCCTCTCTCAACCTGGTGGACCAGCAGTTCTGATCCAGCGTGTCCGGAAGGCATCCAGTGGCTGTGTAGGAATCCAGTTTTGGAGATGCTGTGCATCCGCTCCTGGTTTTAGTCCGCTTCATACAGGGTTCATAAAGATGTTGAACCCTATCACAAAAAAACAGGCTCATCTCTCAGATTGTGCCTGTAAAGTGCCCAGTAAAAGCCGGAGTGGATTCCTTAGCTCCTCACAATTGGAGTCCTCGCCAGCTGCCACTGGATGGGGAGAGGGTGCATCCAGGGATGGGGAATAGGGGATGTGTGGTACTACAAACCCCGCCAGCCTTAACTAGCATAGCAATAGTGGTGGATGATGGGAATGACTATTCCGTAACCTCTGAAGGCCACGTGTCTCTGTCCTCGTTCAGTTCTCAGGGTGGGGAGAAGTTAGCTTGCGATCTTCTGCTAGATCTCTGATCTGGGTGATTTGCCGGTGACCAGCTACAGTTTCTGAGCCCTGGTTTTTGAAACACACGGAGCGAAAGAAGTTCTCCTCATTGCTGGTCTCTCTTTAGTTCAGGGTTCTTTGGATGCTGAAGGGGTTGCTTTGGCCCAGATGTTTACGCGGACTCTCCTTTGATTACAGTTTAGCGTGCAGTACAGTATTTAATCATTTGACTGTGAAAAAGGACCCCTGTGCATCTCAGCTTTTCCAGCCCTGTAGCTCATGGGATGAAGGGATGCACCAGACCAGCAGTTGTCAGCTTTTAGCCTTCCAGATGTTTGGGACTTTTAACTCCCAGAAGCCTTTGGACAGACGGGGATTCTGGGGAGTTGTAGGCCAGAACATTGGGAGACTCAAAGCTTGAAAAAACCCCTTGATTGGGGAAACAACGCCATTCAACAGGCTGAGCCACCATTTGGGGTCCAGACCTAAAGCCCTGACTTGCTGGGGGGGGGCTCTTATCTGTTGTGGATATTCTCCATTTTTTGGTAAAGAAACACCACCGCCACCCCCCACCCCCGTGTCAGATGTCTACCCATTTCATCTCTCAGGAACTGGAACGGGACACTTTCTTTGTGAAAGAAGAGAAACCCCTTGGCCTCCAGAAAGGGGAACTTTCCCCTGTCAGAGGGTGAGACAGGAAGGAAGTGGCTTTCTGCATCTGAAGTGGAACACAAAGAGGAACTGGAGAAAAAAATCACAGGCCTGTTTGTGCTGTTTTGAAACACGTGCACGTGAAACACCCGTACGCATGAGATACTTGGGAGTTTTAAAGTTCCGCCTTGTTATCGGTGGTCTTTCGTTCCCAGGAATTGGTTATCCACGGATACGTGTCATGGCCAGAGCAGCGTGGAGGTGTTTCCGTGACGTCCTGTGAAGCCACTTCTGACTTAAGGAAACCTTACCTAATAATGTCATCTCAAAATTGTCCATTTCTTAAACAGTCTTGTCCCAGTCTGGCAGTCTAAAGATCAGGGCTTCCTTCACTGAATCAGGCAGCTTTGACATTTCCTTTTGCAAATATACACATTTGCAGGCAAATATCCCTGAGGTTTTGTTCCAGTTGCTGAATAAACAGCCCTATTCATACTTACCTTCCTCATTCGCTCTCTGAGTGCCTTCTGACATTGAAGTCTCGTCTTCCAGCACCATCTCTTTTATTTACTAGAACTGCTAGGTAGCTCAGGGGTTGAGGTCTCTGGCTGTGAGACCAAAGGTTGGGAGTTCGATCCCCCCCTTGTGCTTCCTTGAGAGGGGCTGGACTTGATTACCTCTAGGTTCCCTTCCAGCTCTGCAGTTCTAAGATTATTATTATTGAATTGCTGGATAGCTTGGTTGTTTAGTCATCTGGCTGCAGAGCCGGAGGTTGGGAGTTTGATTCCCCACTTGGCTTACTTTATAGGGGCTGGACTTGATGACCTCTAGGGTAGCTTTGCAGTTCTAAGATTATTGTCTTTTAATGATGGAATATAAATCCATAATAATAAGAAGAAGGAGAAGGAGAAGCACTCCAAACCAACGTGATGAAAGCTAAGATCCAAGGAATTCGTGCTAACAGCAAAGGTCGACTCTGCCAAGAAAAAGAGGAAACCGTGTCACACCCCATCTGCCAATGTCCAAAGACGACACAAACAGATTACAAAATTACACCTGATAGAGTGGCAAAATTAGTGCACGGGTCCTTATGCAAAAAATAGATCTTGCTCGCCTTCAAAAACCCGCGGGAACGTCAGGTGGAGAAGGTGTCAGAAAAGGAGGAAGTCAAGATCTTGTGGGATTTCCGGATCCAAACGGACAGACACCTTGAACATAACACACCAGACACAGTAGTAATAGATGATTGACACGGCAATTCCAGGGGATGCCAGAGTTGAAAATAAAGAATTGGAAAAGCTAACAAAAGTACAGAGACCCGGCTATTGAAACATCTCGCCTCTGGAAGAAACACGCTTCAGGGGTCCCCATCATCATCGGGCTTTGGTAACCATATCAAGAAACTTCACCCAGTACTATAAGCAGTTGCAGAGACTTCACCCAGGACTATAAGCAATTGCAGATCTCAGAAATCACACCACCATCAGAGTTACAAAAAAAACAGCAATGTTAGGAACAGCATACAGGTTGTTGGTTAAAACTTTTATCTGTTATACAGTATAATAGCAGTCAATGTTTTTATCATTTTGATTGACCGTGCATGATATTTTGCCCCGTTTCCCCAAAAATAAGACCTAACACCCCATTTCCCCTAAAATAAGACTTAACCTGAAAATAAGCCCTAGTACGATTTTTCAGGATGCTCATAATGTAAGTCCTACCCCAAAAATAAGTCCCAGTGAAGTGAAACCCCTGCCCTCCACCCTTGTGCAGCAACGAGAAGATGACGTGACTGCATTTGAATACATGTAGAGGGTTGTACATGATAAAAATAAAACTTCCCCTGAAAATAAGCCCTGACATGTTTTTTTGGAGCAAAAATTAATATAAGACCCTGTCTTATTTTCGGGGAAACAGGGTAGAATGATAATACTGTACTGTTTTCATCGAAGAGTTTTTGAGGTGCAGAGCTTCCAGAAGTGTCTTTCTGCACCACCCTGACCTTCCTGCCTCGGGCGGCCCTCCTGGACGTCTGGGCGTCTTAGCAGAATCGAGCCTTCTGCCCGACGACACTGCTTTCAGGTTCCCTGAGACGCTCGCTCCAGGAAGATGCATCGGGAAGAGGATGTGCGCGCGTACGTGCTATATTTCTCAATCGTCGTTTTTCATCTGGTCTCCAGAGCTTCGGGAGAGGGCAAAAGGCAAGCTTTGCAAACAGTTTTGCCAAACATGTGTCTATTTTTCTGATTTGAGTTGTAAATATTTTTCCCCCCATGGGCAAGGGGGAAGAGGTCGAAAGGCCTGGCACCTCGTCAGGTAGCTGGTGCGGCCGTAGAAACAGCCCTTCTGGCAAGAGATGCCCCGTTGCCCTCTGGCACTGCAGGGAACCCCTTTTAACTTTTCCTACGTTTTTGGACCACGACTCTCACAAACCGTTACTGCCATCCGTTCTGCTTGGGGAGGCTGAGGGGAGTTCCATCCCAGAATAAGTGGAAGGGTGATGATTCCCTACTCCTGACGTAGATATTTCTGAGTAGAACAATGTCACTGAAGCTGAGGGAGCGTCGGTTTGTCTTCAGGGAAGTCCCATGGATTTCAGTAGAAATCGGAGACTCGGAAGAGCAGCGACAAAGCAATCAGAAAAAGATCATGGCGTGTAAGGAGGTGCTGCTGGAAACCAAGATCGGCCATAGTCTTCTATGTTATTATTTTATTAAATTAAGGTGGAAACCAGAGCACGGAACTGTTGTTTTGCTTGGACAACAGTTCCCATAACCCCCAGCCAAAGCGGGAAGCCAAGGCCTTCAGTTTTGCAAGACCCGCACAACTCTCTTCATAAGAGGGACCTTTGGGGGCCACCAACTCACTGGGTCAGCCAGGAGTTGGAAGTGGCTTCACGGCCTTTGGGGCACATCACAAGAAGGCAAAGGATGGACAAGAATGCTGGGAAAGGTGGAGAGCAGCAGGAAAAGAGGAGAACCAAATACGAGATGGATTGACTCAAGGAAACCACAGGCTTGAGTTTGCAAGAGCTGAGCTGGGCAGTTGAGGACGGGACCTTTTGGAGAGCGTTCATTCATAGGATCGCCATGAGTTGGAGGCCGTCTCTGGCTACGGGACCAAAGGTTGGGAGTTCAATTCCCCCCCCGAAGGTGCCTCCTTGGTGGGAGTTGGACTCAGTGATCCAGAGGGCCCCTTCCAGCCCTTGCAGTTGTAAGAGTGTTATTATTTTATTAAATTAAGGTGGAAACCAGAGCACGGAACTGTTGTTTTGCTTGGACAACAGTTCCCATAACCCCCAGCCAAAGCGGGAAGCCAAGGCCTTCAGTTTTGCAAGACCCGCACAACTCTCTTCATAAGAGGGACCTTTGGGGGCCACCAACTCACTGGGTCAGCCAGGAGTTGGAAGTGGCTTCACGGCACATCCAAACAAATGAAGATCCGCTGGCCTTCTCGTCCAGAAGTTCGTCTCGCCCGGCTTAGGCCACAATAAATAACGAAGCTACAAGATCAAAACGGAGACCTCCAATATAAAAAAGAGCAAATAAAAAAAATAATTAAAGAATATTATGCCAATCTCTATGACACCCAAGAAGTTTCTCTTGAAAAGATAATACAATATATTAAAAAAGCAAATCTCCCTAAAGTACCAGAATACAATAAAAATCTCCTAAATGAGAAAATAACAATGATGGAAGTAACAGAAGCAATTAAAAAACAAAAAAATGATAAGACTCCAGGACCAGACGGATTACCAGCGGAATTTTATAAACCCTTCCAATATATAATAAGCTTACCAATAAAAGAGGTCTGCAATGAAGTCCTACTAGAAGCTAAAATACCCAAGACATGGCTAGAGGCATATATCACGTTAATACCAAAAGAAGATACAGACTCCACACATATAAAAAAATTTAGACCAATATCACTGTTGAATGTGGACTATAAAATCTTTGCAGTACTTATAGCGGAAAGATTGAAAAAGTTTTTAATGGAGTTCATCCATTCAGATCAAAACGGATTTTTGCCAAAAAGACAACTAAGGTATAACCTAAGGATAATTTTGGACATATTAGAATATTATGAGGTATATTCAGAGAAGCAAACATTATCAGCCTTTGAGGGGCCACCGGAGTCTCTGCACTCTGTCCCTTAGAAAATTGAGTATGTTATAGACAATAATGCTGCTGTTGTTTTTCGGTAAACAAACACAGCCCCATCGTTCAGGGGGGTATAAATGGGACACTTTTTTCCCCTTCCAGTTGTTGATGCCTGAGTCCTTGTAATAATGGGTGCTTCCTTTGCCACAAGAGGGCCCCTTTTACTCTGTTTTGCTGCTCTTAATGCTTGCAAACTTCCTGGGACAGAATTTTTTTTTCTGCTGCAGCTCATCTCCATTGTGTTCTTAGATTTGGGACTCTCCCCCCCCCCCCCTCTAAGATGTTAAGGGGAGCATGCATTTCTTGCAGTTAATCAAATGACTTCTTTTTCCTCCAGGAAAGGGGTTTGCTCTGCAATCAGGCTTACAAATAAAGCCTTTTTTTGGCATACCTTCCAGGGGCTAATCACACAACCGAGCACACTAAAGGCCAGATGTGTGGGTGCGGGAAATCATAGGCTGTGTCAAATGGATGTCTTTTACCATTAGGATATGTAGGCATCCTTTAGTCTCGAGAGACTGTGGTAGCGTGCTCTGAATGGAGGACTTGGAACAGCGTCTAGTGTGGCTGAGAAGGCCAATTCAAGAGTGACCATCCCTTCCACATAGAAAACAAGTACAATCTGTCCCCTGTCCAGCTCCCTGATTTTGCTGCCTTCAGGACAGCCTCTTGGCCTCAGCCGGCTGGACAAGGGTCTCTTCAAATTGGGAGAGGCCATGATGCACTGCCTGTCTCCAGGCTGAAGGCTCAGATGTCAAGGTTTCCCATCTGTTGAGGTCCATTCCTAAGGCCTTCAGATCTCGCTGGCAGATCTCCTTGGATCGCAGCTTTGGTCTCCCTCTGGGGCGATTTCCCTGCACTAATTCTCCATCCAGGAGACCTTTTGGAATCCAACCGTCAGCCATTCTCACAACATGCCCAAGCCAATGTAGACGGCACTGTTTCAGTAATGTATACATGCTAAAAATTCCAGCTCGTTCTAGGACTACTCTATTGGGAACTTTGTCCTGCCAGGTGATGCCAAAAATGCGTCGGAGGCAACGCATATGGAAGGTGTTCAGCTTCCTCTCCTGCCGTGCACAAAGGGTCCAGGACTCACTGCAGGACAGGAGTGTGTTCTGGACACAGGCTCTAGAGACCTGGATCTTGGCATATGCCATCAATTTCTTTTTAAGCCATGCTCTCTTTAGTCTAGGATACTATTAGGATATCAAGATAATATTTAGAAATGGAAATATTAGGATAACATTTCTTTTTTTAAAAAGCATGTTGATTTGTCTGACTCTCTCCCCCCAGAGTGGAATCGGTCTGTACTATGCAAGCACAATCTTTGATTTGTTTTCCTGCTGTTTCAGCTGCCTGTTCCCACTATGAAGAGTGGCGTAATTTCCAGGCTGAAAGGGATCCCCGTTATTCTGTCTACATGCCGGAAACAGCTAAACGGTAACCCACATCCATAGCTTTGGGGAAGGGAAGCTTCTGCCTGTGGCTGATTTTGTAAGGGTGAGGGTGATCTTCTTTGACTCGTTAGCTCTTCGGCATGCCAGCAGAGGTGGGCATCACCCCAGGTGGTTTGATAATAAGTAATTCTTGGGATGTGATTGTTTTTCCACAGTACAGAGAAGTGGGCGGGTGGGACATCCTAAGGAATGATGATGCCGGAGGCAAAGTAAACCTCCCGCAGCAGCCTGGCCAGGGAGGTGCAGGGGAAGCTACGCATCCTGCGTGCTATTTCCCGACACCTCGCCACTGGTCCTGCCACCCAAAGGAGCTGCCTCCCTCTGCTTGGTGGCACCGCTGGCTTTAAAAAAATCTTCAGGCTCTGTTGCCGATTCATAGAGCTCAGGAAAGTTACATTGGCACCTTGCTAGACAGTTACCCCACATGACAGGTTTTTCGCTAGACATCGACTTTTTGCGATCACTATAGTGATTCGCAAAACAGTGATTCTTATGGGGGGAATTTTGCTGGACAATGTTTGGTCCCTGCTTCGCAAACCAATTTTCGCTAGACAATGATTTTGACAGCTCCCTCCGCGCTTGCAAAATGGGTGTTTTCGGGACCTAAGCTTCGCAAGACAGTGATTTAAACAGCTGATTGGTGGTTCGCAAAGCGGCTTTCCTATGGCCGATCTTTGCTAGACAATGACAATTCTTCCCCATTGGAATGCATTAAACAGGTTTCAATGCATTCCAATGGGGAAATGCTGTTCGCTAGACAATGATTTCACTAAACAGCAATTTCAGTGGAACTGATTGTCATCATCTAGCGAGGCACCACTGTACTTGTCTGGAGTATGGCTCTGAGGATTTCCCAGTCAGCCTGCACATGCCCATCAGCCATAGAAATAAAGTGACAGGCTGCAGAGCAGACGGCAGACGGTTCCCCTCCCCCTCCCCAAAAAATACCTCATGGGTCATCTCCAAGTGCAGTTGGCATGCGAGGCATGGCATGGGTCCGGTCACGGCAGAGCAAGGCAGCAAGCAGAGTGAACCCCCTCCTTCTGATTGATTTACCCCCTTCAAGGTCCTTTTCATGTTTCCCTTCTGAACGTAGAGCTGCTGCTGTGTTTATTGTTTACGAGGTTTTTTTTAAATCCACGTATTGGTTAGGAACTTATCTGTGCATTAAAGATGAATCACAAAGCAAAGCAGGGTGCTTATACAGTATACTGCTCTATAGTGCTGAAACGTTCCCTGGGAGGTTTATAGTTTCATTATGCAGGCTACACATTGTTCCCCCTTCCCCCAGTGAGCTGGGCGCTGATTTTACCAACCTCGAAAGGATGGTAATAAATAATAAAAGGCGGAGGCAGCCTTGAGCCGGATACCCGAGCCTGTTGGCATTGAACTCAGGTTGCGAGCAGAGCCTTCACTGCCGTTTAACCACTGGGCCATCAGCTCCTTATTGTGAAACGCTGCCCAGATCCCAAGATTTGCTGCCCCAACTGTTTGTTTGTTTGTTTGTTTGTTCGTTCGTTCGTTCATTCATGCATTCATTCATTCATTCATTCAATTTATACCCCACCCATCTAGACTGAAGTCTACTCTGGGTGGCTAACAACAGTACAAATAATGACAATATAAAATACAGCATCAACAATAATAATACAAGAGATGGCAATGAAGTAAATTAGGTATCGGCAGGAGGGGAGGACTGCCTGAAAAGCCAGGTCTTAAATTGGCTTAAAAA